AAATTTATTTTCAGAGAGATGGCAAGAGAGGGAGAGAGAAAGAGAGAAAAGCATCGATGTGTGAGAGACACATTGACTGGTTGCCTCTCGCACGCCTCCAACAGGGGACATGGCCGGCAACACAGGCACGTGCTCTGACTGGGAATCGAACTGGCGACCCTTTGGTTTGCAGGTTGGCACTCAGTCCACTGAGCCACACCTGCCAGAGCTGCCTCTACTTTAGAGTCCTGGGAAAACATGGGAGAGACCGAGAGGGGGTGGGTAGGGATAGATAGATAGATAGATAGGTAGATAGATAGATAGATAGATAGGCATAAGATAAAGATAGTAGATGATAAAAATAGATAATAGATAGGCAGATGATTGATAGGTAGATGATTGAGAGTTGATATAGATCATTAAAAGAAATAGATTATAGACAGGTAATAGATGACAGATATGGGTAGAACACAGACAGATAAATGATGGACGGACAGGCAGGCAGATAGATACAGAGACAGATATAGATAGGTAATAGATGATAGATTTAGACCGACAGACGCTGGGTGGACAAATAAGTGATAGAACGATGCACAGATAGAAACAAATGGAAGAGAGCGGAAAGGTACATAGCGAAATAACAAAATGGGACCTTAATCACATCTGCCTGATAGAGTTTTGTGAAGAATAAATGAGTTAATACATTTAAAGTATTCAAAACAGTGCCTGCTACTTAGGGAGTACTCAAAAAATAGGCGAAATAGCTACGTAGTGACATGGCTAGATATGTGGATGGCTGGCTGGCTGGCTGGATGATAAATGGGTGGATGGATGGGGGATGGGTGGATGGATGGGCAAAACAGACGAAAAACGAAGACAACACAGAGGGTCCCAGAGAACATCTGCATCGACGATTAGATTCCTGCCGCTGCCCCGAGTTAAGGGACGGAACAGGCATTTCCAGAGCACAGTCGAGTGATAAAGAAGATGCCTCCTGCGTTGGACCTTCCCTCTCCACCGGACACTGCGCCCCCACCTTTATAGGGACCGACTCATTTAACCTGAAAAGTAGCCCTGCAACACGGGTAGCATTATGACCTCTCGCAAGGGGGAAACATAGGCTCCGAGAGTTCAAAAAACACGCCCAAGGCCACATGTCTGCCTCCAAGGCACAGAAGCAAGATCCCAGCCCAGGCGCGCCAGCTCCGCGGCCAGCACCTCTAACCAGCAATGGGCTGAATCTCAGGTTCCACCTTTAAGCGTATGAAGTGGGCACTGACCATCTCAGTACATACATCGTACTGGAAATTTCCGATTAATTCATTAGACTCAAATCCAACTTGACATCAAGAGACGTCACCATGTCTCCTGTAGTCTTTTAAAAAATGTTTCACAATGGAAGTCCACTGGCTTCTTGAAGGCAAAGACATGCTCTTGTCCCCATCACCGCTGGGGTCCTCAGCCAACACACTCCCGTGAGGATGCTGGCCCACGAGTCGATGCCACCAGCGTGGCTGCAACGTCGGCCTCAGGGATGGAGCGAGACCTTGTGCGACCTTGGCAGGCTGTGCTTCCTTCACTAACAACTATGGCTCCCACGACAGTTGGAGGGCGGCTGGACCTGGGAGGGATGGTCGGCTGTGATCACGGAAGAGGGAGTTTCTTTCTCAGTAGACACGTGCCTGTCTTTGAACGTTCGCCCCTTTGAGGTAGGCAGCCTCCAAAAACCCATGGCCGCGCTCTGTGTGGCCCAGCAATGTGACGTTCACCGAAATCTCCTACGATTTAAAAACGCAGACCCACATTCATCTTCTGAACCTCACCAAAGAATTCCCCTCGTGCACCAGGATAAAACTTGAAAGGGAGTCCCGTACAGGTATCCGGGGATCGAACCCACAAGCTTTTGGTGTACAGGACGATGCTCCAACCAACCAAGCCACCAGGCCAGGGCCTCCTAATCGTAGACCAAGATGAAGGGGTAACGATGAATTCTCTGGGGACAGGGGGCGCTATTGTTTGGGTGGGGGTTCTGCATTGGGATGAAGGGCCACCTCCCTTCCCTGCCCATCACCTGCTCAATTGCAGCTGAGTCACCAGCTTGTAGAGTTAGGACATTTCACACGAAGACCTGGATTTCTAGGTTCCCACTGTATGTTCGGGGGTCTGTAAACACTGGACCCAAAGCCCCAAATGGCAGCCATGTGCCGGGGTTCTTGACAGTTTGTTCTTCCCAATTTCACCGCAGACCTCACCAGTCCCTGTTGTTTCCCTGAGGCTCTAATACATTTCACTTGGACTCCCTGCCCTAGAAACCCTCCAGTGCCTAAGATTAAAAGACAAGCGCAAAACTCCTCCTTGGGTTTTGTGATGGGAAGGCAGCACATGCTGCGGTGTTTAGCGGGCTTGCTGCCCTGGGGTCCCGCCCTCCCTGGTGGCTTCGCGTCCCTGCAGCTCTCAGGCCTGGGCTGCTGTGTGGCTTCCCGCCTCTGCCTGACGCTCTGCTGTGCGTATGTATTGGAGGAAGAAATAAATCAGATTATTTTTTTAAAATAATAATATCCTCACAGAGTTGTTGTAAGGACAATTAAGGATGGAGGGTCTGGCATATAAAGCAAACGGGGAAGGGACCCGCTGTGGAAGGGGCCTCTGTCAAAGATCATAACCCTATTAATAGTATTCGTCAGCACTCTCTGCATTGCAAGTGACGTGCTCAGGACACGTGCCCCGAAGCAATGACAACACAGAGGCTCAGAGAAGTCAAGTCACTTTCCCAAGATCGCACAGCGAGTAAATAACCAGGTTGGAACCCAGCATCCGGGCTCCAAGGCCTGTTTGCGTCACCATCAGGCAGCCGTGCTCCCCAGCAGCTGTCAGCTCCGTTTGCGGATCAGAGGGCGGGACCGTGGTTGGCTCCCAGGTCACGCGGGAGGAAGCGGCTGGTCTCACCTGCGCCTTATTCCCCCACCGCCGCTGCCAACTCGGCAGCCAAAACACTGCTTTTAAAGTACAAATCAGATGATGTAACTCGGGCCAGAAACCTTCCAGTGCCTTCCCAGCATGTTAAAGAAAAAAAACTACAGGCCCACAAACGCCGGTGCCTCGCCTCGTTGCTCGCCCTCTCGGCCTGCATCGCTGTCCCAGCGTCACCCAGGCCCCTCCTCAGGGCCCTTCCCTGCCTGCTCAGTCTCCACTGTCCCCGCCACACGCCCCCGTCACCTCCCTTACTATTTCTCCTTCACCTTTATGTGGACACTATTGCCCACGACCCCGTCCCCCATCCCCATCCCGAGCCCCTCACCACACCGTTGTCTGCCTCCGTGGGTCATGCGCACACCCCCTTTGGTTAATCCCTTCCCTTTCTTCCACCCAGTCCCCTCCTCCCCCTCCCGTCCGACAGCTGTCTGTCTGTTCCATGTGTCCATGCCTCTGGTTCTATGTTGTTCCTCAGCTTTAGATTTCTCGTACAGGTGAGACCATACGGTACTTGCCTTCCTGTGACTGGCTTATTTCACTGAGCGTGACTCCAGGTCCATCCATACCGTCACAGAAGTTGAGTTCCTTCTTTTTTACCACCATATAGTGTTCCATTGCGTAGACGTACCACAGCTTTTTTTATCCACTCATCTACTGAACATCATTTACAATAGTTAAGATCTGGAAACAGCCTCCTTTACTTTTTAAACCAGATTTATCTATTGCAACCCCCCTATCCTGGCATGTTTGTTTTCTGTCTTCCTCCTCCTCGCCTGGATCGCTAGCGCGTAAATGCAGGCGCACTGGGACTTCGTTCTGGCTCAAGGCTCTTTGCACAGACCGCCCACACCTGGCCACACAGATGCTCCTGAGATTGTTGCGTAACAATCCAAACTCTCTGCAACGTGGCTTTGCAACCCGGACATCGAGAGGCAGGGTCCTTCCCAACCCTCGAATATGGGTTGTCCCTGAGCCCGCACTGACCGACCACAAGTGGGGGCAGCGAGTCGTGCGGGCTTCACAGGCTTGCACACCTGTGCTCTCCCTGCCACCGCCACCGAGCAGGTCCAGCCCAGTCTGCTGGGCAGTGGAGTCCGGTCTTAGACAAGGTTGATTTTTGCTTAGTGTTAACTCACTACGTCTCTCTCCTCATCTCTTCCTGGAACAGTAGCAGGGACCTCCCAGTGGGAGAGGACCTACCGGGAAAGGAACCTGTGGACTGGGCAGCGCTAAGCATTTTGCACTCATTCCCTCACTGACCTCCGAAGCCTGAGCCCTGTCCCGCAGGAGCCTTATTAACTGTCTGACAAGGGGACGCAGAGACCAGGGGCTTGCCCAGGACACTGGGGATCACATGTCATCCCTTGAGACGGCCTGGCATCCACACCTCGCTTTGCTGCTTGGGCACTTTCCCACCTTATAGGTCTTGAAAGGGGGTCAAGCTCTGCTGTATACACTCGACAGCCAGCCAGTTGCTTTCCCAGACTCCCTTGCAGCTAGGGCATGGCTCATGGCCTGGGTTTTACTTGCTGGACACACCAGCATCTCCTGGGTAAGGACAGAACTTGGACCCCACAATATTTCTGAACTGAGGACAAGGGGTGATGGCACTGGCCACAGTCTGCACTCAAGAGTCTCCAGTCTCACCTCCTCTGAGGGTCCCGGAATGATGTCGGCCAAACTTGTACCCCGGCCCAGGAGGCCAGACTCCTCTCCTGGCAAAATGGGCCACCCAAGGGACCTACTGACAGTGATACTTGGGGGTGGTCCTCCACAAAATGGGGATGACATAACCCAATTAATATGCTTAGCAAGAAAAGTGGGCATTATTGTTAGTTACAGATGTGGGAACGGAGGCTCAGAGAGGAGTGTGACCTCAGATTGTGCCGCCATGAAGGGTTGAGACTGGCACCTGAGCAGGCGTGGCCCTGAGCCACGTCCCTTCCCGGCCCCTGTCCCTGCAGCTGTGAGACGGATGTGGGGCGCCCACTCCTGGGGCCCTGGGCAGGTTCAATGAGGGAGATGCAGGGGCGTCTCCCACCGCACAGAAATGGGTGCGAATTCATCTCCCATCTCCTCTCATGGGTCCCCCCACACTCGACAGGAACTGCTACCCTAGGGCTGAGCCCAGGCTCTCAGGGTCCCTCTGAGCTGAGGGGGTGCAGGGAGCCCTCCCCTACAGACAGCCCTGGAGAGCGGGCCTACAACAGAACCCCGGACTCTGGGCTGCACACCTCATCAGTGACTTTATTGCTCTGCAGATGCTGGTGGATCGTCACTTCCGACGTGCTTCCCGGAGCGGGCATCGCTGCCCGTCTCCTGCTTTCCCGGGGCGCAGAGAGGAGCAAGACCAAGGAGCCCACAGCCAGACCCCTCCCCTGCCCCCCAGTCTGTCCGGGGGTCTCCGAGGGACAAGACACAGTCCCCTGCCTTCCGCCTCCTCTCCACCCAGCGGCCGCCTGCTGCTCCTGCCCTGCGCTCCTCTCTGTGGCTCCTGGGCCACCGTGCTGCCCTCCCCGGGTGCAGGGCGGGTGGGGAGAGGAGGGTGCGATGTGGAAGCACCTTTCACAGGGTGGGACAGGGTGGGAGGTCAGGACGGGTGGACGAATGGGAGATCTGAACTGGAAAGGAAGGGTTGGGACAGAGAAAGCTGGGAAGGAACCAGGAATTAGGGCGTCGGACGCTTTAGGTTTAAACAAAGGAGAGGTGAGGTGAGGAGAGGGTCCCAGAGTGGGCGGTTACCCCAGGGGCCAGGGCGGGAAGGGTCCCCCGCCCTCGGGCCCCGGCGCACCGGCGGCGCCGGTGCTGCTGGCGGCCCGGCCGTGGATGCGCTGGTGGCGCAGCACGTGCTCGCGGCGCCCGAAGCCCTTGCCGCACTCCCAGCAGGCGAACGGCCGCGCGCCCGAGTGCGTCTTGCGGTGGCGCACCAGGTGCTCGCGCCAGTAGAAGGTCTTGCCGCACTCGCAGCAGGCGTGCGGCTTCTCGCGCGCGGGCAGCGGGCGCAGGGCCGGCCCGGGGCCGCCGGGGTGCGTGCCGCGGTGGCGCCGCAGGTGCTCCTTGCGCCGGAAGGCCTTGCCGCAGTCGGGGCAGGCGTGCGGCTTCTCGCTGGAGTGACTCTGCCGGTGGCGCAGCAGGTGCGCCGGCTTCAAGGAGGCCTTGCCACACTCGGGGCAGGACGCGGTGCCCGCGGCGGCCAGGAAGGTGGGCAGGCCCGGCGCGGGCACGGCCGGCGGGTCCAGCGGGGGGCTGCCTGGCTCCTGCTTGTAGGGCCGCGGGGCCTGGGCGTCCCCCGTGGCCAGCTCCTCAGCCCCTGGAGCCGCGTCTCCTGCCGGGCAAAGGCGCAGTCAGGGCGGGGGCAGGGCCGGGGATGAGGCCCGTTCGCGGGGAGGAAGAGCAGCGCTGGCTGGGGGAGGGGGGGCGGGGCACGGGGGAGCTCAACGTCAAGGTGCGTTGGGGTGGGCTTCTCATTCACCCCTGTGACCCGCGCAACGGCGCCTGGTGTGAAGTGTCCACTACACACGTGCAGGTGAGTGCGTGGGTGGGGGGGATGGGAGGGCACACAGACGAGTTGGTGAAAGGGAGAACCGGCAGATGAACGGCAGCTGGAGGAGGACCGGTAGGAAGAGAATAAACGCCTGAGAAGGGACGGGTGGGTGGGTGGAAGCACGATGGGCGGATGGGTGGCTGGGTGAATGGGTGGCTGGGTGGGTAGCTGGCTGGCTAAGTATGTGGGTGGGGGGGTGGAAGGCTGGCGAAGGACGGAGGGCAGGCGGAGGGATGGCGGGTGGGGGACGTACAGGGGCAGGCGCGCGTCCAGCTGGCTATTCGGGTGCCAAACTGGAGGCTGGATGAGCAGGGGGACCTAGGACCCACACATTTCCTTCCTCCCGTTTTTCAAACCGCTCAGTGGAACTTCACAGAGAAGCTATCTGTGCTTCCCGCGCCAGGACAGGCACGATGGGCCGCATCGCTAGCGCCTGCCGTCTCTCCCGACAGCCCCCGGGGTGGCCCGTCGCCGTCCCGACGCACACAGGGGAGGGCATGAGCGCGCAGGCCTTCCCCGGCCCCCCCTGCTGCAGGCAGGGCCCCGAATTCCCGCCCTCTCGGCCTCCCCCCCCCCCCCCGCCCGGCCCACAGCGGCTGCATGTTGTAGCCCCTCCTTCTCTGCCTTTGCAATGACTTTCCCGGTGGCTTCCCTGAGACTATGGGCCCCCAAGCAGCACCACCTGCCCCTGTCCTCCATCCTCCCCCTGACCCCCATCTTCCCCGGGTCACCCCCTCCTTGTGGCCTCCATCCAGCTGCCTCCACATTTGACCCTGAGATGACCCTCGAGCTGCTCTGTTCTGCGCTAAAGCCCCTCCCACCTCAAACCCGGCACCTGGGCTCCTGGGCCTCAGCTCCACACTGACCACCGGAATCATCGTGTGCCTGTGGTGGACCCCCATCCATCCCCCTCTTTGACAAGGTTCAGTCTGATTCCCCTTCCTCACCCTCCTGCGTGTGGTGCGGGCGGAGCCGGCCCCGCCCCGGCCCCCACCCCCACCCCCCAGGCAGGGGTGTGTGGGCCTGGGCTCAGCGCCTGGGTCGGGAAGACAGAGCCCAGAAGACGTGACTGGGGGACTCCAAGCAACTGGCCAAGGGCGGGGCAGAGGTCCGGGGCCACGCTGCCCCGCACAGCCCCAGCTCTGCCGGCACCTGATCTCGGCCGAGCCGCCTCATTCCTGAACCACGTCCGCAGCCACAGCGCGCGGGGGCCGCCGCGCATCCCCAGGGGCTGCAGTGGGACTGCCGCTCGCCAGCCAGAGCCACACCCGGCTCCTGCGTCCCCAGCGCTGCTGTCCTGCCTGCCCCTCATGCTGACCCCCAGGGCGGGGCCCGGAGCAGGGTCCGGCACAGGAGGGCACGCCAGGGACCCTCACTGAACACACGAGAGCGGGCACGAGGGGCCGCCCTGGGCTGGGGGAAGCGGGCGGTGCGGGACGGGGTCCGCTGCTCACCTAACGGAATCACCCCACCATCTTCCTTCTGGAGGCCGACCCCGGAGGCGTCTGTCACATCCCGAGGGGCCCTCATCGCCGGTCCCTGCAACGAGATGCCACATTCTGATGAGAAACCCGGGTGATGGCCTGGACTCTTCTCCCTCTCTCTCCGTCACCTTCGACCCCGCACCATGTCCTACCACCCGCTCTGGGGGAGGCCGGAGTCCCTGCGGAGGACGCTCGGCACCCCCGCACGAAGCTCACAGGCGCCAGCCGCCGCGCATCCTCCAGCCTCAGCCGACACTGTAACTACAACCTCAGAGACCCCGAGCCAGACCCGCCGCAGGTTTCTGACCCATGGAGACTGTGTGAGGTACTGAACGTTTTGTTAACCCGCTAAGTTGGGGGTGATGTTATGCAGCAACAGATACACCTGCATTGAATACTGTCTTAGCTTCTCACTGCTGTTTACAAACTCCACGACAAAATCCAGGAGAAAAACACATAAACTGCTTTTAGCTCCGGGGAAAAAAAGCCAGCCAGCCCAGGACTGGACCTCTCCCAGCCCTAACGGCTCTGAGCAGGGGCGCGCCAGCCAGGAGGGCGTGCCTATTTGGGGTTCCTTCACACTCTGCTCACGGTTCCCCAAACCTCTGTCCCCGAGGAAAAGATCAGAAGTCTCCTGGTGCCGACGAAGGGCTCACTCATGAGTCGTCCGCATCCAACCCGCTTCCTTCCACGTTACTGCTTTCAAATGCTTCTGGACTCGAGGGATCGTGAGGGTGAGAATCAGCCACGTTGGAAGCCTCATCAGCTGGTGAGACGACTCAGCAGGAAGCGCCCGACCTTCCACAAAAGCACCTTGTTGGGGATGTACAAGCACCTCTGTCCGGGGGCGGCGGCAGGAGGGGTCACCTGTGGTCACCTTCCTGTCCGTCGATTCCTGTTCACTCGTGCTCCCCCGGCTGTGATGAGCCCACCTCCGGCCAGGCCCCCGCCCCCCCCGCCCGGAGCTCCGAGACCCTGCCGCTGCACACGGCTCCCGTGTCCTGGGTGTACCAGGCGCTCGGACCGCCACCCTTCTGCCTGAACACCCTCTCCCAGCCCTACCGCTGTTACTTCGGGAGCTGAGCGAGCCCCCGTCTCTGCCACCCACGCGGTTTGGGGCCGTTACACAGGAACATCGCCCAGCCTGGTACCCGTCACAGCACACTTTTAAGAGGTTTACTGCGGCCTAACAGACATACAAGAAACACATACGTTTAAAGCGTATAACCCAATGAGCTTCCACACATGTATCCACGCAAGCACCCACCGGTGCCATCGAGGTGGGCGGTGAGCACCCCTGTGGCCTCGGGAGTCCCCGTCCTGCCTCCAATGTGCCACCCTGCTGATTTCCGCCACCGCAAAGCGGGTATCATCCTCTAGAACTTTATACAAACAAAACCACACAGCAAACGCGCTTTTGGGGTCTGGTTTCTTTCACCCGTTATTTTGCCCTTAGGATATACGCCTATGGTCTTCTTGTCGCGTCTCCAGTTTGGGGACCGTGGTGATGCTGGCCCCGCAGAATGAGAGGGGACGGGCCCCTCCCCGTCAGCCCCTGAGAAGAGTCTGTGTGGAGGTGGCGTCCTTTCTCCCTGATACGCCTGCTCCCTGACGGAGTCACCGGGACCACCGCACTGGTTTTAAACCTGTGCCCACCCGTCCCCTCCAACAGATGGAGGGCTCCTGGGGGCGGGGCCCGGCTTCTGTGGCGTCCCGGCTGCCGATCTTTTAACAAATTTGCTGAGATATGATTCGTACACCACAGGACCCGCCAACTGAAAATGCAATTCAGGGTATTTTGGCAACTGGGACATGCCGAGCTGTACCGCCACCACCCCAGTGCATTTTGGAGCATTTCTGCCGTCCCCAAAATTAACCTCGCACCCACTGGCAGACCCTCCCCACCCCCTGGGCCAGCGGCCGGGAACCGTTCGTTCATCTACATCCTGTCTCAATGGGCCTGCTGCTCCCGGAGGCTTCCCAGAACTGCAATCCCACAGGACTTTCCTGGCGGCTCCTCTCACGGTTCGCAGTACGTTTTCCACGCACACCCACACTGCGGCGTCTCGGTCCTTCATTCCTTTTCACGCCCGGATGCTACTCCACTGCGTGACCATCCCCACTGGGTTTGGCCACTCTCGCACGGCACGCACGTGGGTCGTCCCCCCTCTTCGGCTACCAGGAGTGACGCCGCCCAGCCGTTCCGCATGCCATATGCGTAACCGTACGTTTTCTTGGGTTCTCTTGGGTATGCACCCGGGAGGGGACGTGCTGGCTCATGCGGAGCAACGCATCCCCACTTAGCGTCAAGTGGCTTTAAGCGAAACGACGTGTGATGACAGATTTTACCCCGGGTTCATTGATACACGCAAGAGTAGGTTCCACGGCATCTCGTCCATGTTGATGAGACATTATTCCAGGACCCGCTGCAGCCCCACGTCTAACCTCCTGGGGGAACTGCCAGGCTGTTTTCTGCCAGGGTTGCTCCGTCTTACTTCCTGGCCACCATGGAAGAGGGTTCCCGCTCCGGGTACCGCTGATGCTGGACACTGAGTGAACGGGCGGATGGATGGGTGAGCGTCAAGCCGTCTGCCTGCGCCCCACGAGGACCGGACACGGGAGTGTGGAGCGCGCAGGGTTTTGGTGACGCCAACCAGGTCCCCGGTTGCCTCCAGCCGCAGACCTGCTTGTGGGACGTGGAGCAAGTGCCCTGCCACCCTGTCAGTTCAAAGGGGACTGCGTGGCCCACGATCTCAGCCCAAGTCCCCACTCAGACTGGTGGAGGCTGAGCCTGTGGCGCGGAGACCTCCCCAGCTCTCCAGTCAGCACGTCCGAGAGTGGGGGCCAGGAAGCCACGCTGCCAGCAGGCTCGCCCGGGCACATTCAAGCCTGAGCACGTCCACGTCTCTGGGGGACCCCGCAGGCATCCTGGGGCTCTCTGGTTTGGGGTCACAGACAAATGCTGGACTGTGCGGAGGCCGAGCACTGTCCACAGGAAGGTATCGGGACAGAGCAGCCATGGGCGCTCAATGATGAGAAGCAGGAACCTAGAGCCCCAATAGGTACGTGGGTTCTATTCCTCCCACTGCCCTGTGTGACTAGCTGTGTGACTCTGGGCAAGTCGCTTGACCTCTCTGAGCTTTGTATCTTCATCTGTGCGACAGCAAGGACCACAGTGCCCAGTCCTGGCCCCATAGGATTGGGGGGGGGGGGGCAGAGAGGTTGTGTTAACAGTGGGATTTATGGGGGGTACCAGCCAAGCTGTTTCTGCACCACCTCCAGAGGGCGTGGAGACTGAGGTCAGCCGCGGGTGGTCCGCTGAGTCTACCCAGCCGACCCCCAGCAAAAAGCCTGGACACTCCGTGTCCTCTGCAGGGCCCCAGGAGAGTCCGGGAGCTGCGGGCGGGCATCAGGCACCCCAGACCTGCCCTGGCACCTACGCTGTGACTGACCCTTCCATGTGACAAACCATTTCCGTGAGCACAGCCGCTTTACAGGAGTTCCGCGTCCTTCTGCTGGAACGTCAAACGGAGGGTGGTCCCAGGGACCCCCACGAGCGTCAGAGGGAGGGGGTCTTGGGGTCTGCGCGCTCTGCTCGGCACTGCACTGCGGGCCTGACGCTCCCGCCCGCGGTGTCCCCGCTCTCCATCACGCCTTCGCTCCAGGGCTGCGGGACCCGTGACGTGCGCTCGCTCACACGGGGAGCGTCACTCCCACAGGCCGAGGACCAGACCACCGGCGGGAGGTTGGGAGGGGCAGGCTCGTCTCTGACCGCAGGGCAGGGGCGGCGCAGGGGCACAGGCGCGGGCGCGGGCAGGTCCCCAGACACCAGCGTGCTCACCCCGAGCTCCTCCAGCAGGGCCAGGGCCTCCTCGCCGCTCTGGGGCCGCCGGCTGCACACCCAGGCCTGGACGTCGGCAGGGAAGGCACTCAGGAACTGCTCCAGCACCAGCAGCTCCAGCATCTGCTCCTTGGTGCGCACCTCGGGCTGCAGCCAGTCTCGGCACAGCGCGCGCAGCAGGCCCAGCGCCTCGCGCGGGCCCGGCGCATCGCCCAGGTGGAAGTGGCGGAAACGGTGCCACGGCGAGTCCAGGGCCAGGCCCTCGGTGGCCCGGACCTCCTGCTTCACGGGCTGCGGGGACGGGGCCTCCATGGGGGCCTGCGGACCCCGGGGGGGGATGACAGCACCTGTGGGGAGGACACGGTGAGGTCAGAACTGTTGCCATCGTAACACTAAGATACCATCTGCCTCTTTCCCTCTTGTGTCCCAGGGGGCACGGTGGGGCCCTCAGAGGCTGACAGCCACAGGCTGAATGCGGAGCCGATCTCAACACCCAGCTCTCGTAAGTCGGATGTTGGAGAGATTCGGAAGGAAAAAGGCCACTTCTCTCACTCTTCATTTTGGAAAACATGATTATTTTTCATCATAAAAATGTTATGCGAACACATGAAGGCTGATCACTGCTATTTCTAAATGTGTTGGTCCTTTGGCATTCACTCGGTCTTTGTTTCTAACATGATTCAGACCCAAAGCCCTAACTCCCGTAACCAAAAGGGCTTTTGCACCTTCCATAATTGTTAAGACTATAAAGAGGTCCTGAGTTCACATTGCAAAGCCCTGGCCCAGAGCCGGGGCCAGCGAGCAGGTGCTGGGGGGCCGAATCTGGCCGGCATCCTTTTTTCTTTTAAGTCACACAGGCTGGCTTCATTAAATGGTTAACAGAGGGGCTCTGCCCTCGATCCTCTGTGTGATCTGGGACACAAGACTTGCCTGCTCTGGGCTTAATTTCTCCACTTGTAACAGAGGACTGCTCATCACGGCTCCTTCCCCACAAGGGGTTTGGGAAGTGGGCGGCCCCGAGTCAGAGCTCTCTGACCACCAGGTTCCTCACCCCCACACTGGCCTTCGGGCTGGACCTTTCTGTGCTGCGGCAGGCATCCTCTGCTGTGGAAAATGCTGAACTTTTATCCACCAGATGCCAGTAGTATCTTCCCAGCTGTGATGAGCAAAATGCCTCCAGATATTGCCCGGTGTCCCCCGGGGACAAACATTTACTCAGAGCACCAGGGATCCGGAGCAAATCCCAACTCTCCTACCGACCTACTAGGTGACCTTGGACGAGGGACACCGGCACCTTTGACACACCGCACCTCCGCTCCTGGACCTAAAATCACACTAACCCAAGAGGTGCAGTAAAAACTCAAGGTGTAAGGAAATGAAGGTGCTGAGGACTACACCTGAGCTAAGCAAGCCCTCGACCAAGTATTTTTGGTGGTGGTGGGGGGCGATGCTGCTATTAACAAAACAAGCACATGCATTTAAAATCTAGCTACAATGAGCACAGGCGTAAAAACTAGGAACAAAAGAGGGCGGTTGCAGCCCGACGGGTAGAGAAAGGCCGCGGGGCAGCCTCGGATGAGAACAGCAAACACAGGACCTCACTGATGAACTCAGTCCCTCGCAACAAGCTGAAGAGGTGGGGGGCTCTTCTTTAAGAAAGAAAGAAAACCGGGGAAGAAATCCTCGGGAGTCGCACAACTTAGAAAAGGGCGTGAAAAGGGCGCACAAAAGCAACCACCTGCGCCCATTCAGGTGGGAGCCACGACCTACCCCTGAAGCCCCGTTCGCCAAACCTTTCCCACGGGTGCAAGTGGTCCCACACCAGTCCTTAGGGCCCAGCGCCCATCCCAGAGGGGATCCCCGCCCCCTCCCTCCTCTCGCCCCCTCTTCCTAGGCCCTCCCAATTCCGCTCCCTCCGTTTTCCACTCTTCCCTGCGACCCCCACCTCGGGGCCCCGCAACCCTCACCCACCCCTCCCGCTCGCTCTCCCATCCCCCGCTCCCACCGCCCCCTTCGCCCCGGCCCCCTTTCCATACCCTCTCCCCAACTCTCCTATCCCCCCCTCCCCAAAGTCCAATCGCCCCCGCAAATCCCTCCCTCATTTTCTCCCCTCACTCACCGTACTCTCCCCGGCGAAGCCCCCCCAGGACCCCTCACCTCCTCGCACATGCGCACAAAGCTCACGGGGACTCCATGCCCCGGCAGGCTTTGCGCCAAACTCTTGTGTGACCCTCCCTTCAAACAGTCCCGGAGACCTGTTCCGTTCCTCCTGACAAACCACCCCCAACCCCACGGGCCTCACCAGCACTACATTTCCCAGGAAGCCTCGCGGCAATGGCGGCTTTCCATTGGCTCTCGCCTTGACGACTAGCGCACGCCCGTCTGCGAATGGCTCCGCCAGCAAGAACTACACTTCCCAAGATGCAGCGAGCACTGCCTGCGGCCTATTGGTCATCGCAAACACGGCCTTGCCTAGCGCGCCAGACTTTGGACTACATTCCCCAGAAGGCAGAGAGGGCTTCCCAAGCATGCGCAGACGTGAGAACGGGAGCCTGGGAGGGAGGAAGAGTGACTATGGCGGCGTTGTCGTGGAGACCGGAGAAGGCTCGACGCTGACAGGCACTCGAGACATGGGGCGCCTGACCTGGGGAGGTGGCGGACGAAGAGGAAGGGACCCGGACTGGAGTTCTGCGCCAATCATTGTGTGAGGTGTGCGTCTCCTTGACAACGGGTCGCTTCTCACCCATCCTCCACCCGGCGGAACAAGGTCCCAGGTCCGTGCGGGGTCCGGACGTGACCCAGGCGCCCTAGCTCGGCTCTGTCTGCGTGTATCTGGCCCCCAGGCCTCAGTTTCTCCTCTGTGAAATCGGGCGAGGGTAATACGTGCCACACGTCCCTGATGTGCCCCCTTCAGACAGGGGGACTGCCTCAGTTTCCCCGTCTCAGAAACGAGAAGAAGTCTGAGAGATGTCTGGCGGGTCCCAGGCGGCGTGGACCCCGGAGAAGTCATCGCCGCGTCTGCACCACGTGTTCTGCTCTGGGCGGCGTGGGCGAGACGGACCCACGGCTGCTGGACGACGTGGGATAACGGCGGGAACAAGCACTGCTTAAGTGGACAGTAACTCGGGCTTCGCCAGCGGTTGGCGGAGAGCCCCGCCTTTCAGCCGCAGGATGGGTGGCAGCCAGCCCCTCGCTGGAGCCTCACTTCCTGCCATCTCTCTGTCCCGCCTGCCCTCCGGTCCACTTTCTGCTCCAGGGAGCCTCGGTCTTGTCCCCGCTCTGATCCCAGTGCCCGCTTGACTCTCCACTTAGACTGCTGGATTTTTGTTTTGTTTTTGACAGTTGACATTCAGTACTGTTTCGTATTCGTTTCAGATGTACAGCGTATTGGTTAGACAATCATATAGCGCTTCACGAAGTGTTCTGATATTCCCAACACCCACCTGGCCCTATCCATAGTTATTACAATATTGGCTCTATTCCCTACGCTGTACTTTACATCCCTGTGACTATTCTGCTCATTTGTATTTCTTAATCCCTTCACTTTTTTCACCCATCGCCCCTAACTCGCTGCGTCAACTGGCTGTCTGTTCTCTGCATCTGTGAGTTTGTTTTGTTCATTTACTTTGTTCTCTAGATTCCACACAGAAGTGAAACCATGGTGTCTGTCTTTCTCTGACTTATTTTACTTAGCATAATACCATCCATGTTGTCACAAATGGTAAGATTTCATTCTTTTTTATGGCCGGGTATTATTGTATATGTGTACTACAGGTTTTTAAAAATTGATTTTAGAGGGAGAGAGGAAAGAAACACCAATTTTTTTTCTTGTTGTTCCACTTATGTATGCATTCGTTCGTTGACTTTTGTATGTGCCCTGATTGGGAATCAAACCTGCGCCCTTGGTGTGTTCGGACAGCGCTTTAACCAACTGAGCTACCCAGCCAGCGCTGTCCCATGGCTTTTTTATCTGCTCATTTATTGATGGGCACTTAGGCTGTTTCCAAATCTTAGCTATTGTAAATAACACTGCAGTGAACATGCGGGTATATCTGTCTTTTTGATGTCATGTTTTGGATTTTGTCAGATAAATACACAGAATCCACTTGGATTTTCTAATAGGCATCACAGTCAAAGAGAGTATTTCATTCCCCATCACCCTCAGTGAAGAAATATCCTTTCCCCCCACTGCTCCTCCGTCTTAGAAATGGGTCCATCATTCACCCAAATGTCCAGGCCAAACAGGGAGGGGTCACCCCTCATTGTCTTGTCCCCCCCACCACACACCCATCACACCTATGCACGGATCCTGTTGACTCCATCTGCAAAACAGGCAGCACGCGTCTGCTGCCGGCCACCTTATCACCGGGTCTCAGTCCCCGTGAGTCTCACCTGAGCCAACGCACGGATCCATTGTCCTGCTCCCGCTCCGGCCACCTCCCACCCCTGCACCCCAGTCCCTCTAGCAGCCAGAGGGACCTTGTTCTTGTAAAATGCGCATAACAAAGTTTACCGTTTTAACCATCTTCAAGGGCCCAGTTCCATGGTGTTCACATCGTGTGACACCCATCACCACCGTCCAGCCACAGAGCTCTTCTCATGGGCCCAAACTGACAAGTGTCAATGTCCCCACCAAACACTGAGTCCCCGTTCCTCCCCTGCCCCGGCCCCTGGCACCCACCGCTCCACTTTCTGCCCAGGAATTTGAGGAGCCTAGGGACTTCCTATTGAGGCAGGATAGTAAGAAGCTCGGAGAAATTCCAAAGCAAATGGAATGGGAAAACAGACAAGATCATTATACAAGGCCAAACAATTTGAGCGATTTACAGCCAGCCAGCGAATTGCAAAGACCTTATCTTCCCTAACAAGGGACACTTGAGAACAAATGGTTTATAGCTCTCCTCCCAAACCGGAGAATACATAGCTTAAGTCACCCTGGTCGGGGAGATAGCGCACAGAGACCCAATTAATGCCATTCGTGCCAGAGAAACCCAAAGGCATATCACGTCAGGGTAACAAATAACAAAAACTTGATTAGAGTCAGACAGACCCAAGATAAAAAGCAAAGCAGTGAAGCTGGCCAGAGAAAAACCCCCAAACCTGCTATACGCTCATTGTGATGCATCAGCATATTAAAAACACCCCGGGGAAGCCGATGAACATTCTGTTGAAACCCTCCCCTAAGGTTCTCACCTGCAGAAGAGATAAAAAGTCCTCAGCCAGAGAGACCCAAGACCGAGTGTCCAGTGCGGGCTGCCTCACCCTAGAGCACACCCTTGCCTCCGCCCCGCCCCCAGGCAGGAACTTTTTACTCTCCTTCTCCTAACCCCGAAGGGTTCCCACGAGGCGTGCAGCCAGAGGAGAAGTGGGCAGCCCTGATCCTGTCCGCAAGGCCCCATTTCTCTCTGGCTTCCCAGTGAGCAAACAGCAGCCCCGCCTTGGCTCACTCCTTTCCTGTAGCTTCTCTAGAGGCCAAAGCAGAGCCGCGCCTGGGCTCCCTCCTGTTACTTCTACCCTAAGTCCATCTTTAGTGTCACTGTCCCCAGCTTTAATAAACATGCTCTCAAAAGCACCTGGACGCGTGTTGTGAAATCTTTCCTGCACAAAGTCAAGAACGCACACGCTCCAGGCCGGTCCCTGTCCAGTGACACTCAGGGAGGTTGCATCGTATTTGTCCTTTGGCGACTGTCATTTCATGTAGCGTGACATCCTGCCGTTGCATCCGTGTTGCAGCATGTGTTAAGAATTTCTTTTTTCGAATCGTCACATGAGGATATGTTTATTGATTTTAGAGAGAAAGGAAGGGAGAGAGAAAGGTCGATGTGAGAGAAAGACATCAATCGGGTGCCTCCACTACGTGTCCTGACCGGGGGCGGGGGTGAACCCACAATGTACGTCTGTGCCCTGACCGGGAATCGAACCCACAAGCGTTTGGTGTATAGGACGACACTCCAACCAACTGAGCCACCTGGCCAGGGCAAAATTTCTGTCTTTTTTACAGCTGAATTATATTCTATTGCATGGATGGGCCACATTGTATTAGTCCATCCATCGGACGGCTCTTCTTAAAACTTACCTACAGTCATGTCACTCTTTTGCTTAAAACCCTCCCGTGCAAATCCCTGACCCTGGCCTGCAAGGCCCCACATAACCGCACCGCTTCCTACCCAGAATTCCCAGCTCCCATGGTGCCTTTTGTGCAAATAAGAAAAGGGCGGTCCTGGGAAGCGCCTCAAGGCTGAGCCAGGCGGGTGGGGAGGAGGGTGCAGCTCCCGCTTCCCGCTGGGCTGGGTGCCTGTAGGGAGCGGGCGCAGTTCAGCAGGGCTCAGCCCAACACCACCCCCGGGCACCATCGCTGTGCCCTGCCACGTGGCACACGTGCCTCTGAGTCAGGCTCCCAGAGAGGCCCTGGGAAGACCATTGGAGATGCAAATTCTCAGCCCCGCACCGCAGGGCCACTGAATCAGGAACTAACGTTTGTTATTCTGTAGTTGACCTACAGCTGAGAACTGATCACAGTAAGCCCAACGGATGCGAAGTCGAATCCCCACGCCCCGCCATGGAGTGAAAGCAGCTGATTTGCCCACAGAATGTCTTCTGCTCAGCGCCTTCCAGTGCACGTGTACGGGGCACGTCCTATGAGACAGACGCTGGGCAGGCCCCGGGGATACAGAATCCGGGTCCATCAGGCGTTTAGGGTGCTCGCTGCACGAGAGCGTGTGCGAGGCTGCCACCAAACACGCCCACCCCAGCTGGGGCACTCTGGGCAAACCAGGTGATCAGTGTGTTCCTCCGATGTGGAGATCACAGGCCCTTCGAATCCCAGGGGAACGGTGGCTGCCCCCCCCACGCCGCCCCCCAAAACGGGCTGTGCTCCTTGGCTTCCGCAGAGCATGACGCTCCCATTCTTGCCAGTGACTGGCCGAGGCTTGAGGCTCGGGTGGGACCCGTTCTGGCCAATGACTGTGAAGGCAGATTCACGGGAGAGGCTTCCCCAGCTCTTAAATGAGAGGTGTCCCACAAGGCTCTGTCTGTGGGTGATGCTTCGAACTGTGGCAGCCACCGGGATGCTCTGAGGGGAGGGAGGAGCAACGGGACGGGGCGGGGGGGGGGGGCCTGCGGAATGAGCCCACGCCTTACCTCCCGACTTCCTTTACGGGAAATAGTAAGTCTCCTGGAGCTGTTCTGTTCTTGAACCCAGAAGCCACGAAAGTCACACACATATATCCAGGGCCCCTTTTATGGGCTGCAGCCTGGACAGCCGCCCAGAGCCCCAAGCAGACTTTAATGCTCTCTGT